TGTTCGGTTATTTTGTTGAATATATATGATGACCAACTAATACATCAGCTGTTATGGTTGATACATTGTGTCAACTTTAGGAGTCTAAAAGCTTAACTAAGTAACTCAGCAGTTCTACATCCTGGGGTGAAAAGGACATGCCCTTATGCTCTAGGATGTTGTTTACTATGTCAACTTGAAAAGTTTAAAAGTTCAACTAAGTGATTCAGCAGGGGGCCAGGGTCCTTACTTTGTAAACATCCTCAGCTTCTAGAAGAGAAGGGCACAGAGATGATGTGGGCTGTGGCGGACAAGCCGATATACAATATAAGGGAAAATAAGGAAGGGTGCAGAATCATCAACAGTACATGCAGCCCAGCTGAAGGGGTAAGAGCATGAAAAGCCAGGATGGACACTCCCTGGCAAGCACACCTTACCTATAGTGAGGCTGTCAGCAATAGTCCATGTTGCTGACCATGGGACATGTCAGAACTCCAGATATTAAAATGTAAAGCAGAAAATGTATGCCTTAAAATCAATACAGTAAGCGCTGTGAAGGCATTTCTGAAATGTCCAGCAACAAAATCTTAACACTTTGTAGTATTACTAAGGAAACTTTAATAGACTTGTGGTCATGAAAGTATAGCAACAACCATATTTATCAGACTCTCACATCTAATACCTCATTTCACCTTCCCACAGATCTGAGCAACAGTATCTTTATATGCTTTTCAAAGATATGTGGAAACAGACCTCCAAAGACTATATCCAAAATTCTCCCAAAGACCCTGATCTGCAGCCATTCAACTCTAAGCCTACTACTTTCCTGCTACCCCGCAGTTGCCAAGTGGTCTGCTCTGGCACTGATCCAACGCCAGTGTTCAGGGCTTACTTTCCTTTCAGCCTTAGTTTCTAGGCCTTATCCAAGGAAGATGACCTTTTAAACTTGAAGATCTTGGACTGACAAAAGACAAAGTAGGTGAAAAAGGGGTACAAAGAAGAACCTGAGTAAGATTAAAAATTTAAATATCAACATATTCAATATTTACAATGTGTGAAACATACTTGAGAGATGCGTAATAGAGTAGACACAACCCAATTGCAAAAGGGAAGCCCAATAAATTTTTGAATACCATCACTGAAGCTAAGCTTCCAAAGTACATAAAGAAACTTCATGAATTTTTCCTTGTTAAAACTGCAAATAGAAACCCACATGTCCATAAACTGATAAATGAATAAACAAAGTCATACATCCATACAATAGAATTGACAATAAAAAGAAATACAGTACTAAGACAAACAGATTAAGTCTGAAAACATTTGTGCTACATATGAAACGTCAAGAACAGGGAGTCTACAGAGACAGAAAAGAGACAGTGGTTGGCTCAGGACTGGGCAAGGAGGTCTGAAGCGAGAATGTGGAGTGACTGCTAAGGGCCATCGCTTCTCTCTGGGGTGAGAAAAATGTTCTAAAACTGTTGTGATGGCTGGGCAATTCTGTGAATATACTGAAAACCACAGAATTGTACAATTAAATAGGTAAATTGTGTGTTATACAAACTAAATCTTAATAAAGCTATTAAAAATTTGCAAATTTTTAGCTACTTTCTCTGGGCCATGGGGGTACCAACACATATATGTACACATATATACACAGCATAATCAACTACAATGTGAAACAGAATGTAGCTTCAATTTTAACAAAATTAATGGTAGGATCACTGCTAGACTGATCTGAAATACTGCTTAACACATAATGTGTACTTGCTGAATAAGTGAACCCAAAGTCCAACCCTATCATAGAGAATCTAACACCATTATGCTCATTTTGAGTTGCTAATAAAATTGTCATCTCAAAATGTCTCATAAAGATAATGACATATGACCCTTGCCAAGAAAAAAGCATGAAGGATGGGCAGAGAAACTGTGTATATTATCCAGGACCATGGTCAGGAGTTGGGTACGTAACAATAAAGACCAATCCCCTAACACAGTGATAGTAGGAGCAGCAAAAGTACTTGCTGACCGTAAGTACCTTTCACCTCTTGGCACTTTTGTCAAAGTGAAGAATTACAACAACCAAGCCTTGGACTAAACCTGTCTTAGTAAACTATCAGCTACAGGCCCATCTATTAAAGGCGTGGTCCCCAGGGTGGCACTACTAGAAGGTGGGGGAGCATTTAGGAGCTGCGCCCTCACAGAATACCCTCAGGTGACTAGTGCATACCTTTTAAGGGAGTATGGGCCACAGCCCCTTCCTTTCTGTGCTCTCTGTCCATGAGGTGGGTTTTGCTCTACCACAACCTCCTGCCATGTTGTGTGGACATGCCATGGCCCCAAAGTTATATGGCCAACCAATCATGTACTGGAACCTACAAAACAGTGAGCTGAAAGAAACCTTTGTTCTTCATAAACTGATTATCTGCGGTATTCTGTTATAACTAACATAATGAACCAAGAAGGTTCACTCCACATTCCCCTTGGCTATATTCCTTTACCTTTCCTGCTACCCAGATACTATCTACTGTTTGCTCTCCTAGTTCCTGAGCCATAGTATTGTGTACCTAAAAGCAATGGTAGGGGTTTTTGTTTTGTCTTGTTTGCAGTAGTGAGGACTGAACACAGGGCCTTTGCACTGAGCCATATTCCTAGGGCTGCCCCTCTGACCTCAGTTCTTTTGGAGAAAGGGTCTCGCTAAATCACTAAATTGTGTAGGCTGGGCTCAAACTGGTGATCCTCTTGCCTCAGCTTCCCAAAGTGCTAGAATTACAAGTGTAGATCTAGGCCTTTTCCTTTTTAATCATCTTTTCACAGTTCAGTGATATCAGTAAGTCTTTCTGAGGCCAAGACTCCAAACTCATCCTGGGTCTTGGTTACTTTTCTCTCATTGCTGAGATAAAACACCCAAATTAAAGAGGGAAAGGTTTATTTAGCTCATGGTTTATGGAGGTTTCAGTCAATAATCGGCTGGCTCTAACAAAGGGTAGCATAGCACAGGGGCAACAGCTCAAGGTAGGAGAAGACAGCAAAAGCAACAAAGGCAAAAAGGGGGCAAAGAAGCCTTTTTTTCTCTCTTATACTGTGTGCAGGTAGGCGTAGCACTCACACCATCTCCTGTCCTCCTGCCCAGGCTGAGGATGTTTACAAAGTGAGGACCCTAGCCCCCTGATGAGTCACTTAAACTTCTCAGGTTGACACAATGAATCAGTCATTATACCTGCAGCATAAACAGCATGTCTTCTACACCCTAGGATGTAGATGTAGACCTGCTGAGTTATTTAGTTAAGCTTCTAAACTTCTCAAGTTGACACAGTGTATTAACCATTAGACTCTGCTTCCCATACTTCTGTACACTGGAGTGCCATGTGTTTCCATTCCCAGGCCAAGCTCACAAATATGATTCAGTTCACTCTGGCATTCCATACATTCAAGCATCTAGTAACTATCGTCAGAAACTAATTCTTACTCTCTCTGCCTCTGATTTTTCTCTATTTTTACCTTGTTTTCATGAAGATTTGCGCTTAAAAGCAAATACTACCTACTGGTCTGGCAGGAATGGCCAAATCTAGCATATAACAACTAAGGTTATCCCTCAGTTAACTAGAAACACAATGTTTTTGACCTTAAAAACCTTTGAGATGAAGCAGGAAGGTTTTTCCCTTTGTATTACTTGATTATGAACAACTGAAAGCTGTTGCCCCAGGAATCCTAGGAAAGCAGAAGTCTTCAGGTAAACAAATTTCTTAATTAGTGATTCACACAAATATCTATCACTCTAGCATAGTGTTAATTTTTAAATGAACTAATACCAAAATTAAGCAGTTAATTATCAATATTCAATGATATATTAATAATCATATGCTGATTACCTTTTAAACTGGAATAATTTATTTAGAAGGTAACAACCACACCTACCAAGGTCAAAATAATGGTAAAAATAAGAAGGAAATTCAACAGAAGCCAAATGAAGCAGCTTTGTCATACATTAGGTACAAAAGTAGAACAATAAAGAAAAGGTAGAGATCTGCTATAAATGGTAAGGGGCGGTCAATTACAGTACAGAAACACAACACAATACCGCAGTCACTCAACATGACAGTAAGAAACAGATTATTTATGACTTATAGGCTGAATAACTTATATGAATTTCTTGGGACAAGTATTCAGTTTTCCAGATTCTGGAATATTTGCATTAGCCTTTACAGGTTAAACATCCTTAACCTAAAAATCCAAAATCTGAAATGCCCCAGAATGTACCATGACGCTCAGAAAGTTTCAGATTTTGGAGCATTTCAGATTTTGAATTCAGGATGTCCAACCTGTGATAAATGTGAAATATGAACAAAAACAGGTGTGCATATATCTGTTGTTTTAATGAATTAACCCAATGTCATCCTTTTACAATACACCATCTTTTAAAAATATCTTTTTAAAATGGTTCACCACTACATCTCTTATTTTCAAAGAGTCCACTAATCCATTCCATTCACTCAATTAAAATTTTCTTTATTTTACTTTTCTAGCTGGGTGTAGTGATGTGGTAGTCGGTCATCTCAGCTACTGAAGAAGTTGAGACAGGATGATCACAAGTTCAAGGTCAGCCTGCGCAATTCAATGAAACCTTGTCTCAAAGTTTAAAAAAAGGGCTGTGGGTGTAGCTTAGTGGTAGAATCCCCCTGGTTTCAATCCCCAGTGCCACACACAAACAAAAAAATCCTATTTTATTTTTCTATGCACCCACCTTTCTAATTATCTCATTCATCACTTACAAAAATATCACTGTTTATTCTGGTTTCTTTTCCAATTCTGAAGACCTCTATAAAGGTTACAGAGTGAAAAACAAAGTCACTCTCTGGTCACTGCACTACCCCCCCCCCCACATATCCTGGTTTGCTGTCACTGTGAAGATAACATAGCAGTAAACAGAGGAAAACTGACAAACTTCAAGCCTCAAAGCTACCCTGGGAATTGTTTCTGTCTATCTATGTATACACAGGAAACAGTTACCACATGTCTCTTACCTATTGCATGAATCAGACTCTGATGAGAAAAGTGTCACTTCTTGAATATCAGTACAGCTAGAAGAATCATCTGCTCTCTCGGCCTCTGATTTCCCTGGGTAGCCCAGTTGCGATGGGTGGAAATGGTCTGCTACCGATGGTACATCTGAGAATTTCATTTTATCATCTTTCGGTCCCCCCCCAAAAAAAATTTAAAAAGACAGAAAAGAAATATTAAAGACTATTTTAAAATCTACAATCTCTGTATGCCCATTATATCTACTACACTTATATAGTTATCTGTACTTAGTAAAATATGTTTGTAAACCAGTGATTCCAAAACTCAGTGATAGAGAACAAGAATCAACACAACAGTGCTACCTAATTACACACTCCACTTTGTGATATTCCATAATTAATTTCAAAATAAAATTCCCTTTAAAACCACAAATGATAACCCTTATAATTCTAGTGAAGCTGAGAAGGAATCTACAGATTGCTAAGGAATGCTTATGTATTTCACAGATCAGAAAACAGTGACAAATATAAGCAAAAAAAATTAAATTTCCTTATATGTGGAATCAGAGGGAGGAAGAGAAAGGAGGAGGGTAGGGGAGAGGAGGACAGAGAGAGCACATAAAAGTAGAAAGAGAAGGGGATTATAGAAGACAAAGGCGAGTGAGAGGGGATAGAAAGGCAAGAGGCAGAAGTGGGGGCAGAAATGATGAAAGGATGTTCCATGCATGAACAAATGTGCCAAAATGAATCCTGTGAAATTCATATGCACTAATTTAAAAAAGACACAACATCTAAAAGAATAAAAGGACTAAAGACTGAACAAATAAAAACTACAGTATTTGTCACTGTTATGTGATAATGAATCTATATGGACCCTAAACCTACTAAAAGAATATATTTATTATGGAAAAGAAAAACTAATCATACATAATGAATATTTCCATTTGATCCAATACACAGCACATTTCTATCCATCCTTCATTATATTCTCAGTTTTTGAACTCTCTTATTACACACAACGACAAAGGCACAGAGAAACCTAACAGCGTTATACAAGTATGGCCAGAAGTCTCCAAAGATAAGTGCAAGAGACAGTAGTTGAGCAAAGACACTAGCGCTCTCATTTGGTGTTTCAGAACTCTGTTGAGATTTTTGTTCGTGTTATCTTTTTTATTATTATTAGTCAAGACTGCCACCCCGCACTTTCATGGAGCTACATCCCTAGTCCTTTTTGTTTTTAATATATTTTTTGTTTTTTAAATGTTAAATATTATTTTCTCATTTTAGGGATAACCATGGAAACATTTTTTTTTTATTTTGAGACAAGGTCTCACTAAGTCAAATTACCTAGGCTGGACTCAAACTTGTGATCCTCCTGCTTCAGCCGCCCAGAAGCACTGGAATTATAGGAATATGCTATCATACCTGGTTCATCCATGCTGTATTTAAGACTGAGGAGTTGAGTGATCCTAGCAGTGAGGGAGGCTGAAGCATAAGAACCACAAGTGCAAGTCCCTCCAGGGCAATTTAGCAAGACTGTGTCTCAAAGGAAATAAAGAAAAGAGCTGGGGAAATATCTCAGCAGTAGAGCACCCACTGGGCTCGATCCCAATATGGCAAAAGATAAAAAAAAAAATTTGAAAATTGAGGAACTATTTCACAAGCATGCGCACACTCTAAATTTAATGTGTTTCCACACAAAAAAGCAGAGCTTTCATACACCCCTCAGGGAGGGTGCTTAGAGGCAAATGACCACTAACAAAAGACATTAAAAAGAACTTCATCTTAGTTACTCTTCTCATTCCTGAGACAAAACACCCAACCTCCAAAGTTAAGGAGGAAAAGTCTATTTGGCTCACAGTTTATAGAGGTTTCAGTCCGCAGTTGACTGGCTCCAAGGCAGGGTGGCTTGGCAGAGGGCCATCACAGAGGAGAAAGAGTTTATAGCAGGCAGAAGGCAGCAAAGCAGAAGGCCGCAAGTAGTGAAGTACTGAAGCGGTGAAGCAGCAAGGGACAAGCAACCTTCTTTCTATCCCTGATATCTTCTCCAGGCTCCCCACTCTTAGAGCAAGTAGCTCTCACCCTCAGGGTGGGGCAGCTTTAATCCTAGCACAGCACATTGAATCAATCTCTGCATCACATCCTTGATCCCAGCAGCACACATTCTAAATCCAGCCACCTCCAAATAATCCCCACCTATGATCACATGGGAGCTTTGGGGGAACATCTAGAGACAAACCATAACAAACTTTCAAGGTTTTGTTACACAGAAAATTTTTGGAAAAAGATCAGATCAAATCTTTAAAAAACAACAATTTCCAAGTTCATATACTTAACAGTTTTTTCAAAATGATTGTAAGTTTTTGTTACACTGGGAAAAAGGTATACATCACAAGACTATAAACTCTGATGCTGCTATTAATAAGACATCATCACCAAAACAAAGCTCTCCTAGTCCCTTCTAAGGCTTCAGGGAAAAGGAAAAAGGAGCTAACAAGATGACTACCCAGTATCTCTAGGGTCTCTCCTTGTAGTCACAGCACAAGGATTACTTTAGGGTACCAATCCCCATAGACACTCCATGTGCCCAAGGCAATTACATTCCTCAACTGGCCAGGAAAAGCAATCAAGCTGATGAAGGAGGGAATGCAGCACTCTGGGAGGCTAAAGCGGGAGGATCACAAGCTTAAGCTCAGCCTGGGGAACTTGGTGAGACAAAAGAGGAGGAGGAGTGTAGGGGATATAGCTCAAGGTGAAGGCCAAGGTTTCAGTCCCCAACACCACAAAACAGGGAACAGGAATTCAACTTAAAACAACCTTTTTTTGTGTGTGTGCATATTGCCTGTATTCTTCTTTTTCTTCTTCCCCTTTTACATTAGCTTCTAGAATATAAATTGCCATTGGGGACAAACATCATATCATCCAACAATCTGTGGGTACTGAAAGCCAGGTATCTTTCCTGTCTGCCCTTGGTTTGAGGATGCAGGCTCTCAAGCAGAGCACCAATTGTGAGGCTGAGACATCAGGCCTCCCCCAAAGATATGCACCATGAGCAGACACAGGCTTTCCCTTGAAAGAATGCACATCTTGCTTACTTACAGGAGCATTTCAACGTTATCCTACAGAACAAGTGGAATTGGTTGTACGAGAGTACACAAAATTCATCTTTCAATCAGCTCATGTCTGTCTTCCTCTCTCTATTCCCCATGCATGCACAACAACTGCACAAGTAGCCTTTACCTTGAAGCCCAGAGAAGCAACATTTTTGTGCACACACACAGTACTGTACTGCTGAGTGCAAGCAACACTCAAGAGAGACTCCACTTATCAATAAAGCCAGAGTTTCTTCCTAAGAGGCAGACTAGCTTCTCAGACTATCCTTTAAACAACTGCATAAACAAATTTAAGTGGTTCAAAAGCTATGAGAAACACACTGAGGCAGAAAGCATCCAACTAAAGATAACAGAGGACTTGAGAACAATGAGGAAGGGACTTGAAACAGTAACATGCTTGGGAACACATCTAGCAAAGGAGGCAGACCTGTCTACTGAAAGCTGTTAAACTGCTATGAGAGATTAAAGACAATTAAATGGAGAAACACGCCACATTCATGAATTAAAACAATTAATGTTTTTAAGGTGTCTATTTAAGCTAAGGATGTGGCATATGCCTCTGATTGCAGCACTCATGAGGCCAACACAGGAGGATTTCAAGTTTGAGACCAGTCTGGACTACATAATGAAATTCTGCTCCCCTCCCCCCAAAACACAAGGCCTACCAAAAGCAACCTACAGATTTGACATAATCCAATACGAAAATCCTAACAATTTTTTTTGTGGAAAAAATAATAGTCTATTCTGAAATTCACATAAAATCTCAAGAGGCCCCAAATAGCCAAAACAATACTGAAAAGTAAAGCTTGAGAACTTAACCTTTCCCACTCTGAAATTTAGCACCAAGCTACAGTAATTACAACAGCATAATACAGACAAAAGGACAGACATACAGACCACTGGAGTGGTACAGACAAAAGGACAGACATAGTACAGACAAAAGGACAGACATACAGACCATTAGAGTAGAGAAATAAACCTTCACAAGGTTGGCTGGTTTTCTCCAATTCAATGGAGAAAGAAGACTTTAATGAATAGTGGTAAGAAAAATACTTACCTAGTTGCAAAAGAATTGAGTTAGCTGTACTCTGAGTAACTATTTTGAAGAGAATAATATGTAATGTATTAACTATTATTACTATCTTATTATTTGTTAGAAATTTTATATTATTTTTTCATTAAAAAAAGAATCAATTTGGACCCTTACATTATACCACATAAAAAAATTAACTCAAAATGGATCAAGACCTAAATGTAAAAGCTAGAACTATACAGTTCTTAGAAGAAAACTAAGCAGAGATTTGTTTATGTTTGTGATACTGGTATGCTGCTACTGTTCTATGTCTTTGTTTCTCATTTACTACGCTCTTTAAAATAAAAAAATATATATATATATATATATATATATATATATGACATTAAATTTGGCAATGACTTTGGGGATACAACAGCAAAACCACAAGCCTTCATCAAAATTAAGCATTTTTGTGAAAGCACATTTTACATGGAAATGACACTATCAAGAAAGGAGAAAGACAACACAGATGATGTTCGCAAGTATCTGTGAATCACATAAATAAGGTATTAATATTTAGAATTCCTAAACTTAATAATGACCCAAAACACCCAATAAAATATCAAAGGACCTGAATATACTCCAAAGAAGAAAAACAAATGCCCAAAAAGCACACAAAGCAAAACCACAACAACATACCATTTCATACCTACTAAGTTGACCTCAACAGTAACAACAATTTTAAAACAAGAAAGTGAGTGCTGACGAAGATATGGAAAAGATAGACTATTCATGCACTGCTGGTGGGAATGAAAAACAATGTGGCTGAGGAAAACAGCTGGGTAGCTTGTGAAAGGGTTCAACATGGAACCAACCACGTAAGCTAGAAATTCCACTCCAAGGGAAATCAAGGCAGGGACTGGAACACTGGAAAACCAGAGCTTACTGCAACATAATTTGCAATAACCAAAGGCTGAAATAACCTGTTACAGATAAGTGGGCAAATATAATGTGGTATATACATACTATGGAATATTATTCAACCATAATAAGGAATAAGAGGGCTGGAGAAGCATTGTGGTGGTGCAGAGCTTGCCTAGCATGTATGAGGCCGTGTTTAGGCTGTTTAGCACAGCAATCAATCAATCAATCAATCACCATGAAATTTTAATATGTGCCACAACATCGATGAGTACTAAAAATATTATGCTTAGGGAAGTAAGCCAACACAGAAGAATAAACACTGTACAATTCCATTTATATGGAAATATATGGGCAAATTTATGGGTACAGAAAACAGAATAGAAACCACCAGGGCTGTGAGAGACCGAAGAGAGAGTTATTATGTAGTGAGCACAGTTTGTGTTGGGGATGATAAAAAGGTTTTAGGTAAACAGAGTGGGGATGGTTACATGATACTATGAAGGTATTTAATGTGAAAGAGTTACACATGTGTGAAGGGTGAAAAAAGATACAATATTGTGTTGTGTATATTTTACCACAATAAAGAAAAAATAAAGAAATTTCTGGTGCACCTTTCCTCATTATGATTCTGTTTCGTTCACTTGCCCAAACTCAGAAATATAGTATTAATCTCAAATTTTAAAATATCCAAATTAAGTTATGTGCTATATGCACAGCATTCCAAGTTCATCAGCTTTGGGCTCTTTAGCAGAACATTTCACCCAGTAAATTAAACATCCAAAGTCAACATTTTATCACTGTTCTGTAACAATAACAATTTATATTCTTTGTAGTATACCTTAGGGTATCCAGCAGCACATCCTCTAACTAGAAAATAACCTCAAGTTTAAACAACTAAGGAACTTTCAAGTTTTCATTAACTGAAAGGAAGACAGACTTTAGAGACTGTTTCTTCAGGGCAATCTTTCAATCACTTTGTCCAGAGTAATAAGCCTAGACAACCACTATACAAAGTAGATCTAAAAATACCTTTTTCCATTTGAAGACCTAATAACTCCAAAGTAAATACCTTTATTTTCTTTTTATATTAAAAATAAATAATAAAATTCACTATACTTCTTATTGCATTAATCTCTTACCCATGCATACAGATAACAGCTTTTCTGTAGGTTCAACTTTTTTCATTAGTTTGTCTTTTGACATTCTTCTAGTTTTCTTGTAGCCTTTTTTGGCTTGATCCACCAGAAGCTGAAACTCATTCTGATGCTTTTTACCTGAAATTCAAAAGACCTTTTCAGCAAGGCAGGACTGTGAAAGTGAACAACTTACACCCAGAGCTGGAGGATGAAGAGCCGTGCAGGTGAGCTCACAGCACCACCCTCAGGGTCACTGCACTGACCGCAAGAGTTGCCAAGTGAAGCACAAAGAGTTGGGGGCTGTGCATGTTCTCTCCTGATCCATCTACCCTCAAATAAACACACAGAAGCATAATATGCTCGTTTGCTACTCTAGGTTTCTTCCCAAACCTCATACTCAGGAAGACTTTTACTCTTTTAAATATACCCCAAAGATGCCATTCTAACTTCTGAGAAATGAGAGGCTACTCTGACCAGAGGATTGCAGTAACTGACACAAAAGTAGGAGCCTCTAGGAAAGTGAGGTTCTAACAACTTCATTCCAACGTTTTGTTTTTTACATCTGATGTGTTTCCCAACAGAAACCTTTTATTTTAGTGTTCTACAACCTCTGCCCACCAATTTCTCCTTCCTAAGTATACTATAACACTAACCTCTATTGCCACTTTAATATATCTGAAAATAATTTAATTAACCCTAACTTCAAGGTCACCATTATTAGGGCATGCTAATATGCTGAATAGAATGCCCAGACATTGAGAGAACATGGACTTTAGCACTTTACTTGTGATGCTGAATCATGGTCCAAACAGTGGAGGTTGCAGCTTCCTTACTTAGCAACCTTAAACATGTAGGTCATGGGTCAAAATAATAGCATAAATCTTGTAAAAACTTCAGAAGCAATCAATACTACAAGTGGCTACAACAAAGTTCTGAGATGGTTTTCACATAGTAGCCAACAATATACTTTTTAATCACTTGGTTTCTTCCATTTTCCTTATAGCACAACATAAAGACGTAAGAGTACACTATATGTAGAGGAAGTCTGTGTTTCAAGTGAAAATGATATAGGGTCTAGAGCTCCCCTTCCAGGATTCCAGCCATTCACTGATACAATGGAAAATAATTGTCTATAAATATAAAAATCCTCTCTGGTGGAATTCAACTGAATTTCTTACCCCAGTATGGATGATAAGAATTTTGCTCCCACTTGCACATTCATTTCAACATTCCCCAACATAAATGTAACTCCTCTTCTTTGGGTTCCCCTATAATATCTTCCCAGTCCCCTAATGTTGGAGACCACTACAAAGTGGCTCTAAGCAGGATTTAATATTAACCAATTGGCTTTCTGTGTTTACTTGTGAATTATCCGAAACTGAGGCACCTTGTCTGAAGATAGGCAGCAGACTCATAGTAAATAAACCTCTATGAGTCACTGGTCACCGCTGAGGCCTGTATTGGCCTGTGAAGCTCTGACGCCTCAAAGTAGAAGGTAAGGCCACAGCTGAGGATGTTTGGTTTCAACCCCAATTAACTACAAGGAGACTGCAGCTGCATGCTCCACACTCCTACAATAAATACCAACTTAAAGATAAGGTAGTTCTCCCGACTGACATAATTTCCTACTTAGGAAAATTCTCCCAAGGTCCTGCTCAGATTCCCACGTTTTCTTGAGTATCCACCTCCTTTGTTTGTAAACCAAATAAATATGGGCTACCCAGAGAAGTCTTTGTCTAAACCCAGAGAATATCAAATGCTGTAAGAGAGTTAGACCCTCCTGGAGCCCTGGAATCATTTCGATTTTCTCATTTTATTTCAGCCTTCGCTGTCCACTCATTTGTGAGACTGCGGGTCTGATCAGCCCACAATAACTAAGGGATTTTAACCTGATACCCTAACAATGGGGTTTTAAAAAAATTTCTAATAAAAATGAACGTTCATTTTATATCTATGAAAGTAATGCTTTTACTTCTCTTTCAGAATAACCCTTTCACATGGGAAAGAGTACAAAATTTTAAAAATCACAACAAAGAAGTGAGAAGTTTGCTTCCTATATCTAGACATTGACAGGTATAGCAAAAGACAGCTCTAATTCCAATACAGTGACATTTCAGTTCACGGACTTAATTCTTTCCATGATCATGGTTGCAAACCAAACTGGACAAGAACCAAATAAAATTTCCCCATACGGTCAACACTGACCCTAACTGTTAAATTTGATTCAGTTCTCATCCAAATTAGGTTGCAACCAGAATCGTGGAAAGAATTAGCTTCATGAACCAAGGTATTACTTACTTATGTATAGAGTATGTACATGAAAACTCCCAGTGAAACAATAAATAACACACTAGGAAATAACAGAGTGCATTACAAATGGCAAAGGTAAATATTATTTTGTGAAACTTGTTTCAATAATGTGTGTTAAATAGTAATTATATAAATATTTGACCATATATATAAAATCATATTTTTGCTGTGGTTTGCAATTAAAAACCTCTTAAAGTCACTGAATTGAGTATCTACCAATTAAAACAACAAACTTTAAAAAGCAAACAAGATCACTTCTCCAACCTCCAACCGTAAGTTCATTTTTCTGTTCTCCCTGACACAATAAGACTTCTCCCAAAGAGCTGTCTGCCTTAATGGTCTCACTTCCTCACTCCAATTTGTTCTCAAGCAACTCTCAGCGCTTCTTACACCTCTGTTCCTCTCAAAGAAAAGATTCCAAAGGAAACACTATCCTTGTCAAAGGTTTGTTAGACTCCTAGCTATGAAATCTATTAGTCCCTTGTACTGCCTCATACATAACTTTCAACAGAAACTTGGGAACAATTCATGATTCCTTGTTTCTTAAAATAACCCTCTCTTCCTAGATCTTCTGATACCACATGTCCAAGCCTTCTCCCTATCTCAAAGACTCACTGTGACAGTTTAAATGTAGAAGCCAATATGAGAATCAAAGTGTTTTCTAGCAAGCCAAACATTAGAGATTTACAAAAAAGGAATACTCATAATTTAAACTTAGTTTACATATAATAAAATTCATTAATTTTACATGAACAATTTGATGAGTTTTATTTAAAATGAAGTCATACAACTAGTAACACAATCACAACATGGAAGATTTAAATCACCCACTCATTTCATGAGCCAGTTCATGATCCCATGTGGTCAGTCCTTTCTTCTACCCCACACCCAGTCCCCGAATCACTTCCATTCATGACATTTTTGCCTTTTCTAGAGTTTTAGGAAAATGGTATTAACACAGGATGTCAGCTTTTTAGTCTGGCTTTTCTCTTCACACAAGGTTTCTGAGATTCATACCTGCCATTTCATAGGCCAGAAGTACATTTTACTTTACTCCAATGCAGAGAAACATTCTGCTATTCATGGACACAAAGCCCTGTGTTTATAGATGCTTGCTCCACATCCTGCACAGCACTTACTAGTGCCCTTTTCTGCTTTGTTTTCTTCATTCAAGTAAGTGTATTGTATTATTTCACTGTCATTTTATATTTTCTTTAAGACTGGTGATTAATAAAACTATATCCTTTTATGAGATTATTTGCATCTGAATACCTGCTTTGGTGAAGAGTCTATCTAAATCTTCTGCCCAATTTTTATACTTGATCTTAGCCAAAAAGCTAACAGCAATTACCCGGTTTTTTGAAATATGACATACACCTTATTATTGAGTTGTAAGAGTTCTTTTTTTTTATTTTAAAAATGAAAGGAGGAAAACATTAACAGACAACCTTTTACAAAATAGCAAAAGAACAGTACAGACAAAACAAGAGTTACAAAGTGGTAGGAAATTTTTGTTGTATTACATATTGATATCTTCAAAGTGGTTTCTCATGAAAACAAATAGAGACATGCAATATTGATCAATCAAGGACTCATTGACAGTTTCTTTCAGCAAAGAAATAGAAGACAGTAGATCAACTATGTTAACTATCCTGTATACACATACATACAAAATTTCTCCTTCTTTCCCTTCTCTTTTCCCACATCCCAGTTGCCCTCTGCCCTTGAGCATTTTCCTATCATTTCACAATGTCTATCCTACCTCCGAGTTTATACTAACTCTTTCAGGTTTTACACTAGTGAGACAATGTGGTGCTTGCACATGCAGGTCTGATTTATTTCACTTATGAGTATGGTCTCTAGTTGTGACCATTTACCTAAAAAAGCCTCGAGTTTATCTTTCTTTATAGCTGGGTAATATTCCATTATATAAAAGTACCACAATTTTTTTATCCAATCCTCGGTGGATGGACATTTGGGTTGCTTCCACAATTTAGCAATTATAAATTGTGCTGCTATGAACATAGGTGCACATATATTGCTGTGATATGATGTTTTTAGATCTTCTGGGAAAATTTATATAAACACTAGTACTTTTCCAAGTACAAGTCTTACAGCTATTTTTTCCCAATCTGTGATTACTTCCCCACTTTCCTGAGTATTTTGAAGAGCAAGGCTAATTTACACATTTTTTATGGCTCATAGTATTTGTGAAGGATAATCCTACTGTCTGTGATTTTAAAATTGTATTTCCTCCTTTCAGATCTGCACATTGTCTACTTATCTTTCTTACTGTATCAATGTTGAATTCAAGTGGTTAAGAATCAACACTTGCACCTTATTTCCAAACAGGGAAAAGCATTCAATAGTTTACCATCAAGCACTGCATCAGTTGTAGGATTTTCATACATATTCTACCAATTTAACTTCCAGTTTCCTCCATGCTTTTACCACTAATGGGTGCTCCCCTTTTATCAAACACCTCTTTTATCTATTTAGAAAGTGATACAGTTTCTATCCTTAAACTATATTGCATTTTGTTCTGTTGCACAGCAAGGTACAGAATCGACTGAATTACTTCAAGGCCTGCTTTCCCATGTTATTAGGACAGAATATAAAGAAAATGAAAAGACAAGCTATAGACTAAAGGAAAAATATTTGCAAAAATCATAGCTCACAAAAAGACATCTAAAATGCACAAAGAATTCTTAAAACTCAACAATAAAATGAGCCCTATTTTATTTTCTAATTAATTAAGTTTATTGGCACATTTTAGATATACACAATGATCACATTCATCACAGGGAATTTATACCAATACATGATAT